GTATGTCTCATCGTAGGAATAAATCAGTAGGTAGACGCAGACAAAATAAACTGCTACGATACTTTGACTTGTAGGAGACATAGAAATATTTTATTTGCGAAATTTTCGGCAACTCCTGTTACCTTCGTCAGCGCATGAGTATCAATGAGAAACTAGTTTCACTAAACAAAGCCTAAATGTTGGGTTAACCATTGGATTTTAACCAGCACTTCTACAACAGTAAAATTAGGGGCCTACCTACTGTAGGCCAAGACAAGGCTAGTTCAGAATTTCACACAGACAGACACCCTCCCCTGGTCTCCGCTAATTTAGTAACTTCAGTTCATATCTGTTCATAACATAGGCCTAGGCCTGCTCTAGGCATGGACCTAGACCTAGACCTAGCTAGGGCCTAAGCAAGCCTAAGCCTAAGCGACAGGGACGTAGCCAGGCTTTTGAAAGTGGGGGGGGGGAGCCGTTATGCGAATTACGTAGGACCCCGGTGGGGTCAAGGGGGCGAATCCCCCTGTGAAGTAGCGCACTCTAAACGTTCTTATGACTGTTTGAGAGGATAAAGTGAAAATTGCAATAGGCGCATTATAAATAAGCGCAAAAATAATTATATAATAAATCAACAGTGGCAAATCCAGGAATTCGAAAGAGAGGTGAACGAGGGAGCAGGGACGTAGCCAGGATTTTGAAAGGGGGGGAGCCGTTATGCGAATTACGTATGACCCCGGCGAATCCCCCTGTGAAGCAGCGCACTCTGAACGTTCTTAGGACTGTTTGAGAGGATACAGTGAAAATTGCAATAGACGCATTATAAATAATCCAGATCCAGGAATTCGAAAGAGAGGTGAACCAGGGAGGGACTTTCACAGGCCGAGGAACTACCCACCTCAGCCCCACCATGGTTGGGGCTGAGGTAAGACAATTTATGATTAGGGCATCTCTAGATGGCCGGAAATTACACTCTCGGACTTCAATTTGAATATATTTTTCCTTTTTTTTCCTTCAAAAAAATGAAGTGGGGGGGGGGGGCGTGCCTTGAATCCCCCTCTGCTCAAAACATTCTTTATCCAGAATAGTCATAATCATGTACATGAAAAACCAGATCACATCCTAAAAACAAACAGCAGTCACTAAGACATACATCAGGAGCCGACTCGATGGAGTTTAATGTCATACCCAGGGAAGGGCACAGATCTGTTTTGAAAGGTGGAGGGGGAGGGCATTTTGTAAATCGACACCCACCCCAGCCCCACAATGGTTGGAGCTGAGGTGAGAAAATTTGAGGAAATAGTACCTCTAGATGGCCAGAAATGACACTTTTAGTAAAATTCATCATCATCACATCACCGTTAGTCACAATGATGCGCCAAAAGAAATTCTCATGATCTTTTATCTGGGATTTTTGACAACCATAGAGATCTTATTAATGTGTGTGTATACACCATAGAAAACAAAGTTAAAAAACATCGTCTTTGAGTATGTACTTTACATAGGCCTACTTCAAAAACGTGATTTCACAACCACCTCAGCCCCACCATGGCTGGGGCTGAGGTGAGAAAATTTGAGGAAATAGTACCTCTCGAAATGGCCGGAAATGACACTTTTATATAGTAAAATTCATCATCATCACATTACCATTATAGTCAAAATGAAACGCCAACAAATTTCTCATGATCTTTTATCAAGGATCTACTTAATATAGGACAGCTTAGGCCTCATTATAGCTTACTAAGCTTTAACTATATATACTATATTATGATCAACAAATCACAACTTTTTTTGGCATTTAGCACAATTTTCTTCACTTTTTATTGTTATTAATATTAATATCAATTATGACTATCGTCATCATCATCATTGTTATTATTATCATTATTACTATTAGTAGTAGTATTATTAAACAAACATTTAAAGAAACTTGCAAAAGGATAAAAACGAAATTGAACCACAGTATCGCATTTCTATATTAAAAGACCTGGCCTGAGATTTATGGATTTAAGATTTTTTTAAATCACGCTTATAGGCTTATGTGTTCTATTAGGCCTATGTATAACGTGTACTGATGCATATTTACATGTTTAGAAGTGTTTATTTTAAGTGATCCCAGGAAAGAATTTGTATTGGCTCAAGAATAAGCTTTAAAATTTTAACACTGTGTACAAAGGGGGGGAGCCGCGGCTCCCACGGCTCCCCCCTGGATACGTCCCTGCGAGGGAGGGACTTTCACAGACCGAGGAACCACCCACCTCAGCTCCACCATGGTTGGGGCTGAGGTAAGAACAT